TTTTTTTTTTTTTTTGTGAAGCAATGTCAATTTTGAAAAATATGGGATGATTGATTGTTAGTGAGATTTTGAGCTTATATTAAAATAAATTTTAAAATATAATAATTAAATTTGATTTGATATAAAAATTAAAGAAATATGATATAAAGTGATAGTTAGTCAAAATTATGAATTTTTTTATATACACGCCTTCTTATAGGCCCTTGGAAAATTGAGAAAGTTGTGGACTAATTTTATTTTAGTTGGGCTTTAGTGGATTGGGTTGGGTGAATTTCTTTTTCCAAGAACCCAAACCACCTTGCCCGGTGTGTCTTGAAAATGGACCGGGTCCAACATGATCCAAAGACTTTAGGCTGAAACGGGCTAAGACGGGTCAAATCATAACAAAACATACAAAATGAATATCTATTGGAGCATCCTAGACAAGCAATATATCCCCTCTTTATATTAACACAGAACGCGCTGAGCCTACGTGGCTGCTTCTGGTGCTTCGAAATCCTATGTGGCAAACTTACATGCTTCGTTATTAGGTTTGGGTAAATTTTAATTTAATTCCAAACCAAAAATAATTAGGTTCGGCTTACCATAAATATGTTGATTATTTATGGTCATGTTACATGTATTAATTTTATTTTAATATCATTCATTCTTATAACTATTGAATTGTATATATATTTTAAAAGTTAATAACTTTTGTATTTTAATTTTTATCAGTTTTACATATGTAATATATCAAATTAATTTTCTTTTGATGAGCTTCGATTTAACATCCATATTGTATGTATAAAAAAATAATTTATATTTATCTTTATAACAATAATAAAATTATTTTAATATTAATTAGAAAAATAAAATTATTTATCAACTAATAAATTTATATTTCAAGTAGTTATATGATAAAGTTATAAAAACTAATATAATATAACACATGTAAGTTATAAGTAACACATCATTCTAAAATATATAGTAATATATTTTTTTTGGTAAAAAAGTAAACTAAATTTAATATAGTTTTCTCATTAATTATAAAATTTAAGAATAATTTTTTAACAAGCACCCGTGTAATACACGAGTGTTGTACTAGTTGTTTCATTCATAGATAGTATTTCCATAGCAAAAATTTATAAATATGAACACCACCTTCTTGAACCGTTGTTAATTACGTGCTTAAAAAGAAAGACGCATTTGCATAAAATTTCATAATTTAATTACACTTTTAAATAATATAATATGCTCCCCTACCCGATGTGAGTAAAGCCAAAGCAACAGTAGTATTTATATCATTCGTAGGTGCAGCTAACTCTCCATGAGGTAATTCTATGATTTTCCAAGGTAAAAGTCCCGAAAATGAGATTTTTTTTGTAGTGTGAGGACCCGAAGCTGATCCTGACTTCAGGGCTGATCGACTTATCAGGTAGTAAGCAACTTCCAAGAGCAAAGAAGAGGAACTCCCACTAAGAGTTGGGGGTTAAACGCGTATTAATAAGCAAGTTTCCGACCACTTTTTCCAATCAGCTCATTGGCTATGTTACAATTACGGAAAACAATGCCTGATAGGAGACTGGGACAAAGGAAGACAGATGGAAAGACGTACTTGCTTAAGTAAGAGCAAAGGATGAGAAGCGGTGGGCACGTGTTAATATGTCCACCGCTTACGTGGTATGCACACATTGGTGATGTTAATATGTTCAAAAAAATACATCACCAATATGTGCATGACACATAAACGGTAGACATATTAACATGTGCCCACCGTGGATATGGGAGCATTCCTCATATTAACATTGCAATACATTCTAACAAGCGTCTTGTATTTGATTATTTTTTTTTTTTTTCAAAAGTATCACTATCAATTTTTTTTTTTCTTTGTAACATTTTTTATAAAGCGTCGTATTGCTTTAGATTTTAGTTGCGTTTAAAAAAAAAAAAAAAGTGATATATTAGCAATCATATTGAACTAGTACAACTCCCGTGTATTATACGGGTGCTTGCTAATTTTTTTCTTAAAATCAAAAATTAATAAGAAAAATAGTTAAAAATTTAAATACCTTTTATAAAAATATATATTACTATATATTTAGTATGACACTTTTTATTTGTAACTTACTTGTGTTATATTATAATCATTTTTTTAACTTACAACATATAACTATATTAAACATAATATATCAATTGAGAAACAATTTTTTTTTCTAATGAATTTTAATAAATATAATTATTTTTTATTATTATAAATATAAATATAATTTATTTATTTCAATATATACAATATGGATGTCAAATCGAAGATCATCAAAAGATGATTAATTTGATATATTATATATGTAAAACCGATAAGAAATACAAAAGTTATCAACTTTTAAAATACATTTACAATTCAATAGCTAATTGAATGAAACAAATTAAAAGTCAGTGATATATTAGTCACTTAGTGTCTCACTATGTAAAATTACAAGAAAATTAAAGGGTTATATTAGTACAAGTGATATTAAAATACCTAAGTTAACTAAATAATAGGTATGAAATGTCCAAACCTAAATTATTAATTATTAATATATCAATATTATTTGTCCAAACCTAATTACGAAGCATGATTCTTCACCAAGTAGGATTCCGAAGCACCAGAAGCAGCCACGTAGGCTCAGCGCATTCGGAAATTATATATAGGGAGGATATAATTATATTTCAAATAATTAATTAATAAAAAAAATATATGTGATTTAGCAAGGAGACTTCTTTA